TTGAATATGACAGGCATTTGTTAGTTTTGGGGTCAATAAGTTAAATGTTGATCTGTCTGAGAATGAAAGTAGAAGAATGGTTTAAGCATAATATTTATTCTGAGTCTTTTACCTAGAGCAATTATTGGGAATGGGTCACATTCCAGACAATTGCATTCCAGGTAAGGAAGATGCTAATAGATTTTTTTATTGAAAAGGTAAAATGTCACTGTAACATTTACTTCAAGAAAAGTAACACTTTTGTGTAATAGGCTAATGTATTGTTTATGATTCTACCTGTTCTGCATTGAGATAAACATGCGATATTTCAAGGTTACTGCATTTGTATGGGAAAAATGAATGACCTTGGGAGTGCAGTATATCCATCTGACAAGATGAGTTCATTTTTTCCCATACAAATGCAGTAACCTTTTTATCATATACTCATGTTCTTATTCTTCCCAATGCTTAAGTATATAAACATAAATACACTACAATAAACAAAGTAACTGAATATATGCTGTTTTTGAAACTTAATATACAAGCATAGCTGCATCATAAAACAACAACATATGTAACTCCGCCCAAACAAATTTGAAGTTGATCACATGCTAGACATAAGTTTCAAAAGAAAATGGTTCTAAATTACCATATTCTGATTTTAAACCTTGTATCAAAAAGTATCTACGTCAAAAGTGGCAGGTATCTTGGGATGATGCAATCAATAACAAACTTCATGCCATCAAACCAATCTTGGGAGAATGGACTCCTTCCTACAGAACTATTCGTAGGGAGGAGGTTGTCATTGCAAGAATCAGAATCGGTCATACATACATTACCCACTCACACATACTAAAAGGTGAAGATCCACCAGAGTGCTTTCCTTGCAATGTACCATTTACTGTTAAACACTTTATGACCACGTGTTACGACCTGCAACCTACGCGTGATAAATACTATAATGTACAGGACATGCAGGAACTTTTTGATACTATTCAAATCACTAGTATTTTAGATTTCCTAAAGGAAGTAAATCTTTATTTTAAACTGTAACTTTTTATGACCTTACCCAAACTAATTTTTAACTAATACAAATACCAACTATTATTTACATCTTTTCATCAAGATACATCATTTACATTTCCCGTTGATTGGGAACCAATATCTTTAACTGTTACCAACACTTACCATTTTATATTTATCTACTATGGATTGTTTACTATATCGCTGGTCAATATTGAACCTTTCTTTTTACAAATATGACCTAGTGTATGGCGCTAAATAGCCTAAAAGTGCTGGTGCGCCATTAAAATTAAATCAATCAATCAATCAATCAAAAGAAAATGGTGTTTGGGCTACTTAAAATTGAACTTTGGAGTAATATTGTTAATAAATACACATTGCAACAACTTTTCCATTTGCTCTGGAATGAATACGTTTTGGAAATTTTGTTGATTCAATGCAAATTTGTGATTATGTTCAGGATTTATCTACATGAAGTAACTTACATAAGATTCCAGCAGTATCTGCCAGTTTAATCATATTGAAGTGTATTGACATTGTCATGTGTGTTTCTGTTCTGTCATTGAATAACTGAGATTATGTGGGAAAATTATGAAGCCTTTCAATTGCAATTATCAAAACGATGCTGTGGAATTTAATGCTTATTTTATTTTGAGTGCAGTAAGAAGGGTTTTTACTGGACATGGAATATGCTCGAAATTACAGTACAATTTCAAAATGTGTAATCAACCTTGAAAACCCATGACATGGCGCATGTAATTCGATTTTGCAGAACTATGAAAGTATATTTTGCGGAAATTCAGGATGTAAATTGTAAGTATATTTTTGCACTACTTGATGTTGTGCTAGAACCAAAACATGGATGAATTTCACTGATAGACTCCATGTTGTTTCCACTCTAAAGAGGCATGCGAAGGAGGTCTAAATGCAATTTATGCAGAGGTCATGTTACATTGAGTCATATTTGCACTTTTCATTTGCACATGCTTTCTCTTCTGCAGTGGATCAAGTTATGTTGCCATAAAAATTATTCATTTGGTAAATTTGGTCTTACTTTTGCGTTTGTTATTTTTACAGCTGAATAATCTAACATATCAATTAAACGAGACCATGAATGCACAAAACATTTCGCAAGCTGTGGCTGATGTAAGTATATTTTATAAACATAAATAAATTATATTGAATTTGTACATGGTATTGTTGTTGTAGGGTTTATCGCCAGTTTGTCAGCACAAGATAGGTTATACAAGGCGGCCAGTATTAATGGTGGAGGAAGAACTATGGAAAACCTGGGAAGAACCACTGACCCTCGAGAAGCTACAGGCAGGCTTTCTCACTTACCCACATTAGTGGAGTCTGGACTCGAACTCACGCAGACAGAGGTGAGATGGAAGTGATCCGTAACGGTCAGCGCTTTAGACCACTAGGCCACTCGGGGCCCCTATATAGTAAGAGCTGCCTTGATGTTAAAGCATCATTGAATCATACTTATCAACAACCCAGGTGTAACTATGTAATTATTAATGGACAGCCGATAATGAGATTGTTGATGATTTGTCAGTTAGATTTTAAAATTGGTTTTGTTAAATACTGCTCATGGACTATTGTCTGTCAGTGTTGCATTGTCTGTATTTTAGCACAAGATTGTTATCACTGCTACTTCTAAACTACATAGAGGATTCCCATTAAACTTTATACACATTTATTCCATGATCTGCTTGGCCCTGGATGAAACTGGTGCTTCTCGTGCATTTAATAATGCCATCACAGTAGCTGGCTTAAAAATCATATTGCTACTTCTGAATGGGTGGTGGTTTTTTCACTAAAAGACTTATTATGTTTTGATGATTCTAAATTAAAATAGTGTTGATCTGATGTCCCATACATGTCTATCTTGAAAACCTTGTTTTCACTACTCGTCTTCGTCATTTCAGCATGGGGTTTTTATCAGAAGAATCCTTATGTCTAGTTACCCTTAATGAAAATGTTTTATCTCTCAATATGGTCACCATAATAACTATCATAAAATATATTTTATATCTTTACTCCTCTAGAATGGATGCCTATGTCAATATGGAGTTTTCACCGGTAGACATTTTGTGATACCTAGTGGGTCCTAAATTATAGGGCGCCAGTTGTAGATCCAATATGACTGTCAAAAAGTGTCTAGAAAATCTTCTTATCACTACTCTCCCTGTCTGGATGATCACTATGTCTCTGCCAAATGACCTGTAGTGATGTCTTCTTTGTTCTAATTGAAAATATTGCCAATCTGTCATCAGGTGTGTCCACCACAACAGCTAATTTGAAAAGATCGTTATCGCTTATGAATATCTGAGATGGTTTCAGCACTGAGCAGTTTTAAAGGAAGAAAAAGTCTCATCTTGAATTTCTGTAAAGTCTGGCATAATCCCTTTCAGTATCAAAATTGTACAAAGTTTTGTACATTATATTTTTTTAATTTATTTTTTAGCACTATTGGTCATAGATTAGAAGTCTGATCTGCCATCTGTCTTCCATCTGTCCATTAGCAGAAGTTTGTTAGTTTTGGTTAAACTATACATTTAACTCATTTTCTCAGGCAATATTGGAGTTATCTGACTTGGTAGTTAACACTGTCATGATAAATGCTATAGTCAAGAGTGTTAATGATTTTAGAAACTAACTGGAATCTTTTAATTAAACAGATTCACAAAAATCAGGCTTTCATGTAGGACATTCATGCCAGATTACAATAATTAGAATGATGGATGATTGGTTGACAGAAATAGATAAAGGTATCCTTGTAGGTGCAGTGTTTATTGACCTTGGTAAATTGATTTTTGACCTTGGTCAATTGCAGCATATATCAGATTAGCCATGAAAGGTTAATTTGTTTTTATACCTATCTTGCAGACAGACAACAATAAGTTTCTATTTAAATAAACTTTCAGATAAGAGAATGATAAAGTCGTGTGTTCCTCAAAGATCTTCTTGGACCATTTCTGTTTCTGCTGTACATCAGTGATTGGTAGATGACATGACATGATATAACACTGGATCAATAGGCCATGAGTTTAACTCTAAATTAAATCAGGATTTGGTAAAATAAATAACCGGTATGAGCACAATGGTATGAAGATAAATGCAGCCAAATTAAAAACAATAATTATATGTAGTCAAGCAAGAGTAAAAGCTGGGAAAAATAACTTTAAAATTTAATGATAAAAAAATTGGATGTAAAACAGTCTGTAAATGAAAAACTGCTTATCATCATTAGAGATATAATATCTTGTGCAAGTTGATAATGGTATTAAAAGTTAAATCATTGCTTATCTCTTAAACAGAATAAAATCTTTTCTCACCTATGTAACAGAGAAATCATCCTGTTTTGCTATTTCGAGCTCCAGACACAAAGGCAATACATATCACTGGCCACACAAAACCAGACTCTCTTAAGTGCTACTGCAAAATTAGCAAAAACCAGAAATGAGTTAGATTAAACTGGTTTCTTCTAACTTTGTCAAACACTCACAAATTCCCCAGTTGAATCAAATATAATAATACAATTACAAATGTAAACTCCTGCATTTGCCAACCAGAGTGCAATCCATATGCTTTTTTTAATTTCTGCTAAAAACCCATACATAAATAGATACATCACAAGCACATATTTTTCTTTACAAGCAAACTAGCATTTCCATGACCACTAAAAAAACTTACAACAATAAACATCTGGCATTCCTGTACCATATATATAAACTTTAATTGAGTGAGTGAGTGAGTGATTATAATTTTTAACATAGCTTTGACAATTTTTCAGTCATATCACTATGATGTCTGCAGTGTGGCAGTTTATAGTGATGTCTAGCACTGGGGCATCATGCCACAGACATGTAGCATGATGTCCCACCCAGTCACATTATCCTGACACCAGGCCGACCAGTTCTAACACTAGTCTCTTAATGCTGAGCATCAAGTGAGGCAGCTGTTAGTACCAGTTTTGCAAGTCTTTGGTATGACTTAACGGGGGGATCAAACCCATGACCCTTCGCATCTGAGGCAGACACTCTAACCACTAGGCCACCAGAGCAGTTATAAAATTTTAATTAGTTTAAACTTTAATTACCATAATTAAATTAAACAAGGAATGAAAAAATATACCATGCAGTATATATTCCCCAAAAGAACTGAAAATAAATATATTTTTTAGTAAACAATATTACAAAATTACAAACCGATCCCATGGAAATAAGGTGGGATATAAAACATGGGAATGGCAGTTGCTGCATGTACAGTAACTTGTGACTGCAGATTGAAGCTGTTAAAATGAAGTCATGGACATATTAAGTTACGACAAAAAAAAGGTATCATTTATTTGCCAATCAATTGCTGGTGCTTATACACATTGTAAAACATGGTTTCTTTGAAATATATTGGAGGGACTGATAATTGCAATGATAAGAATTAATTGTTAATTAGCTGCAATGGCTTTCTTCCTTCTTTACATAACACTAACCTTTAACTATTGTGCAGTTTGGCCTCAGCACACCAGAATATGAGAAGGGGGCATGTCCTAGAGGAATAAAAGGTGTGTTAAAAGGTAAAAAAACATGTCCCATGGGTGCTCTCTACCCTCCATTTCACCTTTAAACATGAGTAGGTCAACATCCTTAGAATTTAATGGCAGACCACTACATGTTTGACCGCCTCCTGCCCCTGGAAACGTTTCTTTGAGAATATCATGCATATGGGACTTGAAAGATTGGTTAATATTTATTCAAACCAACACTTAAAAATTGAAATTGCTATGTAAAATCCTTCCAATTTTATGTCCCAATCTCCTTTTTTTTCATTCAGTCTAGTACTTAGATTTCAAAAGTTGACAGGTATGGTATATGCTCATCCTTAAAGCTTTGTACATATTTTCTTGTTGCAGTAAATCAGTAATCTAGGTTTTAATAACATTTGTTTGGTCTAAAGACACCTCTTCTTGTAAGCATTGTGCATTATGTGTGTATGTGTGTGTGAACAAATTTAATTATAGAAGGCTCCATGGAAGATTTGACAGTTGACCAAATGAGCATCTTCATTAAATAAATTCCATATTATTATTATTATTATTATTATTATTATTATTATTATTATTATTATTATTATTATTATTATTATTATTATTATTATTGTTGTTATCATCATCATCATCATCATTATTATTATTATTATTATTATTATTATTATTATTATTATTATTATTATTATTATTATTATTATTATTATTATTATTATTATTATTATTAACTAGGTAACTGACCTGACTATTCTAGTTCAGTAATCAGTGCTTATGTTTGCAGTGAGCTTAGTTTCTCCAGGTTAAAGGGTTAAAGTTTGTGTTAGTCCATTTTAGGTTGTTAAAAAGTAGATCACTGTGCACCGTATTTTACAATTTATTGACTTTGGTTAACCTTTGCATTATGCTCATTTTTGTCAGGTACTCTTGAAATGGCATAGCTTGGAATGAAATTAAAACATAAGGAGTACATAAAGCATCAGTGAAAATAAGGTTGATGTGATCCATATGTCATATTTCATTGATTTTTGTTTGTATGGTGTTAAGCTTTTTTAGTTAGGATTTGCAGTTATGGCATTGACTCAGATTTTATTGCACAAAGATTCAGATAATATGCTATTTAGTTGTGTCAGTCATGGTTTGATGGATCAAAAAAAATCTTCAAAGATTGGTAATTAAGGAATAAAAAATGAAATTACCAAATATTCAACATTGGTTTGTAATCTTGCCGTGCCATCAGTGGTAATTGTTTTTGTTCTACCCAAGTATCTTTATATGTTAAATACAGACATTTTCAGAAATTAAATTTGTGCAAATTAAATACATTTCTCAATATGTTGTTAATGTGAAATGCTGCTTAGTTACTATGTGTACTGCCATTGTTTAAATCATGAGTATTGTATGTTTAAATGTGATGAATTTAGGGAATTTTCAAAAGTTTAAATTTGGACACAAATTTTCAAAAGTTTAAATTTTTCACATCTTCAGAAATATATATGTTTAAGTTCCAGCGACAAAGTATCATATCAATTGCCAATATCAATATAATATTGTATACTTCTTGAATGCTGAGGTTGACCTTAATTCTATTGTAATAAAAATAATACTGTCAGCTCCATGAAAGCTGAGGTTGACCTTAATTTTATTGTTATAAAAATAATGTACACTCAATGAATGCTTAGGTTGAACTTAATTCTAATGTAATAAAAATAATGTACACTCAATGAATGCTTAGGTTGAACTTAATTCTAATGTAATAAAAATAATGTACAATCCATGAAGGCTGAGGTTGACCTTAATTCTAATATGCAAATAATATTGTATGCTCCATGAAGGCTGAAGATGACCTTAATTCCAATGTAATAATAATATTGTACACTCCATGAAGGCTGAAGTTGACCTTAATTCTAATGTAATAATAATAATATTGTACACTCCATGAAGGCTAGGGGTTGACGTTAATTCTGTTGTAAAGTAAATAATATTCAGATGGCTGAAGTTGCTCAAACTTTGTTCATATGTCTGAAAATAGAATAGTTTTGGTGTAGTAAGTTTAACTCAAGACCACATGGAGAATCATTGGACAATAAATTACAGAGTAAACTACTCCCATTTGTGATACATAGGGTGGGCGTATATGAAGAACCATTGATGGTACTCTTGTTACATTGTCTTTTCTTCTAATGTTATGCTACATTAAGCTTTTGAGTCATATCACAGAGAGTCTCTTTTGCTCTTGTTTCCAGGCCAGAAACCAGTTTGCGCTTCAAGTTAATTCACCACAAGTGCAAAGTCATCTAAATGGTAATTATCTTAAATGTATGCTGTTTGGTTGGTTTGTGACGTACTGTGAATTGTTCATTTCTGTTGGTATTGAGTTTAGTGATTTTGCTGAAAAAATACACTTTAGATTGTCCTTTAGTTTGTGGTTTGTTATCATATGATTACCACTATAGATCATTGTTTGTTGGGTCTTTAAATTTGTAGATTGTAGGAAATAAAAAATTGGCGCCTCATGAAAAAATAATGAATATACATTGTTTACCTATGAAAATCAACTGTTATGTCATTTAAAAAAATTTGATATAATACTAAACACCATATTCTTGAACATTATCAGTAGTATATTATTTAATATAAACAAATAATTGTTCCCAAAATCTGAAGTATTATTTATGAATTAAACAGCATTTAAATGAAACATTAGAGTATTAATGAATAAAAAGTCATATTCATGAGTATTTTTTGTGGATATGTCCTTTAAAGAAAAGATGATACAATATTGATTGAGGTGGTGTAAAGATTATCCAGACATTTACTTAACACATTTTAAAGCAAATGTGCTTAGTGTTTATTTCAGTAATTATAGACCTATTAGGTAAACTATCAACTGGTATCACTTAGCATAAATGTGGAGATCTAAATCAAGAAAATGCAAACATTCATTTGTGCACATATACAAGCACACCAAAAATTTAAATTTGCAGCCTAAAAACTGCAGTTATTCATTTCAGTGTTCTTCAAGACTAATATCAAAACATGAAGCTCTCAATAATTAAGAATAAAAATTAAATGATAAAGCAAAGCCATTGAGAGAAAACCAAGCATTTTTTATGCAAAGCTTCGGTCTTTTTAATATGTTAATAATTCTATCAGAATGGAGTTTTGCAATCATAACTATCACACTTACTGACACACTGGAGAAAAAGCAGAAAATTTAAGTAAACCGCCAATGCTTTCAGGCCTGCCTGACCCTAAATGCATCTCACTACACCTTAATCACTGCCATTAGATGGAATTAGCACTCTGATGTTTTCAAAGCTCATGGTGGTGACAGGCTTTAGATGCATGCAATTCACAGATTTGTATGTCACATCCTATATTATTGCTCAACTTGGTGAATGAGAGGACAGTGAAAATGTACTCTCAGATATGTTTTACATGAACCTGCTTTAAAGCATCGACATTGAAGTCAGTGTACAAAAAATGTATCAAATATGGCTAGGACACTTTGAATGTTGGCTTGGTTCATATTTCCTTGTGACTTAAAATGTATGGTCTAGCTTGTTGACAACACCTCACAAAATTGGAACCCTACAGATTTAAACTGATTCACATTGGTAAATTTATAAATTAGTTTTAGGATCATAAAGTGTTTTTTTTTTCAAAATAAAAAAATGCAATTCAGAAATTTGGGTTGGATCATCTTTTAATATTAATTTAGAAATAAGGATTATAATAAGGTAAATCATTAGCTCACCAGTACAGAAAAGAGTTATTGTAGCCTAGCATGTCATAGGTCTCCACACATTATTGCCTTTACATATGTGAAGACACTGCATATGAAAACTTCTTTCTTCCTTGGTCCTGGACAGTAATTTGGTGTGGGTTGTTTAGCATCTACCCCTGCAGAGTGGATTAAGGAGGCAAACTGTGTACATGTACATTATTTGTACATTCTTGGATATGTTTTGCATTTATCACACTAGGTATCCATAGTGTTGTAAAAACATGGTGAATTTGGGGATACATCTTGATGAATCCTACACCATTATCATAGCAGTAGGTCACTGTGACCCATATTTAAGCTTCATTGACTTTGCGTTAAATTTTGAGTTGTAAGTTTATTTTTCAGGCTCAGTTATACTGTGATCATCAAAATTAGGTGACTGCATGCATCTCATTTAGTGTCAGACTCGTACAAAAAAAGAAGGCTCCGTCAGCGTGGGTTTGAGTCTAAGATTTGGTTGTTGTTGTTGTTGTTGTTGGGCTTAACGCCATTTTTCAGCACAAGATAGGCTATTCATGGCAGCCAGTATTAATGGTGGAGGAAGAAACCGGGAAATCACCGGAAAGAATCACCGACCCACGAGAAGTTACTGGCAAGCTTTCTCACATATCCACATTCGCCGAATCCTAGACTCGAACACACACAGACAGAGGTGAGATGGCAGTGATCCGTAACGGACAGCGCTTTAGACCACTCGGCCACTCGGGGCCCCTCTAAGATTTGGCGAATGTGG